CAACTCAAGGAATACTCAAAGATACTCAAAATTTACTCAAACTCAGGGATGTTCAACTCAGTTCAATATAAAACGGTAATAAAAATGCATTATAAAGAAAGCTTTTAAAACCGTAGATAATAACTCAAAGTATTTAAAAATACAATAATAACTCAATTTGTATATAAAGATACAAAATAACTCAATCTGAGAGATTCTCTAACCGACAACCATCGCTATGAGCTATGTGATGATACAACTTCTCGTCCACGCTACCAGAATTGTCTTATACCTTGCCGGAGTATAAGACATCCTCAACTTAGGGGATCCACTAAGCTATGCTTAAAAAGCAATAAGGAATCATCTAAAAAATATGATATTTTCTACCCATGTTGGCTACATGGTTTATGAAGACTTTGAGTTGTTTGAACTCATCCTCATATCGGTGCTCAATACTACTCCCAAAATATACTCAACTCATATGTTTAAAACCATTTCCTCATCCTCAAACTTTGAGATTATTACTCAAAAGATTTCTCTTAAAAGAGATAGTACTCAAAACTCCACATAACTCATTTGGAAATCAAAGTTTCCTCCTTATTTTAAATGTAAAAACATTTACTCTTGGAATACTTAGTTCCCATATATTCATTTTGAAAAATGAAATTCAACTCTCCTCATCCTCATACTCAAGTCTTAAAACAAGTTTTAAAAGATTGTAAAAGACTCTTCAACATGACTCGAAAGAACTCTCAAGACTTTACTCTTAACTCTACCTTGAATTTAAATTATGAATTCAAGGGTTATGATTCATGTTATGAATGATCTCTCGATATTTAGATGTAGTTTAGAATGGTTAGAATCAGAAAGGAGTGAAGGTATCCTTTAAAAGAACTCAGACAAGCCAACCGACGGAAAAAATGAGTGGGGGCAGGTGACCCTGGCGTCAACCTTTAAACTATAGAACATATTTTCTGGCGCACTGCTGGGGCGGCGCGCCAGCCCTTACCCAGAACTTTTCGATGAATTTTCTTCTTCGATTTTAGGCCCGAATTCACCTAGAATCGAATGGTTTGTTTCAAACTCTGTTAGATTCGTTTAACCAACTTAATTACATGAAAGTACACTCGAAAACAACCCTCAAACTCCTAACATTCATCTCAAAAATTTATCAAACCTCATTAATCAAAGAACGAAACTCAAACTTACTCATCAAGAATTCAATATACCCAAACTTGTAGATGAAATTCGTGAAAGAAACTCATGATTGGTGTGTAGGTGAACGAACCCATAACTATGAAAGCTTACATACCTCGATTTGACGAAACAAATTCTCAATTCGAACGAAATCTTGATCGTTCTTCCTTTTCTCCTATTTTCTCCTCTTGAACTCTCTTCTAAAACCCTAAGCGTAATTTAGAATTGTGAAAACTGACCCAAATCAGTTTAGACCCCTAAAGTATTACTAAAAACATTTAAAGCTGATGGGGGTAAGGAAAATACCAAAATACCCCTCATTAATTCGGGTAAATTTCCTTAACTGAACTTGATGACTTCAAACAGGCATATCTCCCTCATTCGAACTCAAAATCTAACAAACTCGATGGCGTTGGAAAGAAGATTCCAAGACCTTTCATTTGATATCGTATGGGCCACCTAACTCATCCTTTACTCAAAGTTATGGTTGTTTGAAGTTGACCAAAAACTCACAACTTAAGCATAACTTGATAAATTCTCAAATTAGCTCTTTCCAAATTAGTTCTGGCTAAACTTAGTTCTTTCTAAGGCGGGATGCTATAGATACATCCTTTACATGATGTATGGGGACGTGCTCGATGTATTGAGTCGTTGAGTGATGTATTCGAAATCGAGACACGATGAATCGGGACGTTGAGCGCTGTATTCGGAACTATAGGATGCGATGTATCAAAATATTTTGGGACATATTCGGATTCCACCAAATTTAAGAAATTTTTGTAATTTGAAAAGGAGTAGAGATAGGATGTAATTAACTCTTAACACTGGTCGTTTGGTGTGATGGATAAGGGGAATTAATCCCCAGATAATTTTTAAGTAGCCTCTAATCCTTTGTTTGGTTGCATAGCTTGGGAATAACTTATCCCAGGATTAATAATTAGTATTGGGATAAGTTATCCCTCCCTTTGGGTGGTATAGTAATTCCGAGATAACTTATCCCGGAATAAAATACATAAATGACAAATATATCCCTTTAAACTCTATTTATACCCCACTTTTCACATTTATGTATAACTATTTTTAAAAGTCTTCAACCACCTTAATCTTAAATAATTCTTTTACAAAAAAAAGTTATTACTAAAAATAAATTATGTAATACAAAATTATAGTACAAATCTTATTATAAATTTGATTTTTCACCAAACAAAAATATTAGCACATGTCCTCCGGATTCCCCCCACCCCCACCCTCCCTACATTATTTTTTGATACCATGTATAATAATATTCACTACTCATTATTTTTATGATAATTCTTCATATTTTTCTATTAAGATATTACACTATATAAATATAATTTTTATTTATAAATTTATTTGACTAATTCTTATGTTTATTTATATTTTGATTTCTCATAAATCCTCTTTTACTTTAACAAACGCAAGATGGAAATTCTATTTTAAGCTAAATAAGAAAATAGTTTTATTTTTAAATACATACGGCACCATTGTGGGAGTGCACACACAAAATTATTTAAGCTAAATAAGAGGAAATTATTTTAAAAAATGAATAATTAAAGCTCGCAAAGAATATAAAAAAAAAAAAACTAAATAAAGTGAAGAGTAATTTTGTAAACAAACAACTTGTTCTTAAAATTTATGCAATGCATATTATTTTGAATACAACAAACCAACACTCAATAATAAATAATCACAACATAACTTATCCCATCATAACTTGTTTTCAAACCAAATGACCCCTGAGAGTTGTGTAAAATTCTCTTACTAATATCTATGAATTACAACTTTTATGGGACCATTCCAAATTCTAAGTCTCAAAAACTTGAAATAATATGTTAAAAGATAAAAATATGAAACAATATAAGAAATATTTAGAAATTATATCAAAGTAAATACTTTTATATATAAAATAAATTTTAAAAATTATATATATAATTTCGGATTAGTTTGGTTTCAACTGACTTTCTTTATAGTTAAAATCAAACCAATCCAAGTATAGTCTGAATTTTTTTTCTATACCAAATCAAGTCAAACCAAACCATTAGTCAATTTTTGTTTTTGTCAATTTAACTAAATTTGCAGTTTAATTCAATTTTCGATTCTATTTTGTACATCCTAATACTACTAGACATCTTTCATGCTTTGGACGATGTTAACTTTGATCGAGCGAATAAAGAAGATCACTCGGCCTCGTTAAAAAGACTGAATTTGTTGGTTATTTGCTAAAGAAATTGTCATTTGTTTAGTTCGTATTTATGTAAGTCTTTATATTTGTTGGTTTTTTTCATTTTTGGGCTGATGGTAAAGATCAATTACGATCGCCAACCAAAATATACAAAAACTTATACAGTAGTCATGTCATATATATTATGGGATTTTTTTTTTCTAGTTAGAACGGTTTGGTACATATATTCATATTTATGATATGCATGTTTATATTTGATATATAAAATATATACATTTGCCAGCTATTATTTTTCGAGGAGAGAGGCAAATCCTTTTATTTGTCCTAAGAAGACTAGTTATTTATAATATATACAAAACATATCTATTTATGTTATTTTAAAAGCATAAAGGTCCTTGCAAATGCAGATTGAACTTTTTTGTCTTTCATTAAAAAAAATTATAATAAAAAAAATTGTTATTTACTATTTTCTCAAATAATTGTCATTTAATTATTATCCTAACATTTAGAAGCTTGAAATCAAATCTTTACTTCTTCTTTTTTATAATAGGTAAGAATTCTTAATATTTAATACTTTAAAATTAACTAAAATTTTATTTCTTAAATTTTTAATTATTTGAACCATATAAAATGTCCTAACATTTAAGATTTTAAAATTAATATTTTCACCTTATATAATTCTTACTTATATTATGGAAATTAAAATAAATAAATAAATTAAAATATGAAAAAAAGAGGTTCACATTATAAGAAATAATTTTCAACCTTTTTATATGAATATTTATGGTTTAGATTGATATAACATTGTTTTGACATCTATAGCTACTTTTGAATAACCTTGTTCTTTTTCTATATAGTTCTATTGATTGAATAAAACACGTACACTAAATGAGTACGCCTATCATGACTTGTTTCCTTGCATATTACACATTGCTGATTGTATTTAGCTTCTCCAACATCGATCTGGTTGTGGTTTCGACGAGTTCGACACAAATAACTTATATTAGCAATTCTAGCAAATGGTTTTAAAGAGCGAGATGGTGGTTTTTGTTGTTCCCGCGAAGCGAAGATCATTCGCTTGGCGAATAAAGTGGGTCACCCTCTTTTTGGCTTCGTCTTCGATCTCTCTTCGCAACGCATTTTAAGGGCTAAGACTTTCTCTCGACATCTTTCTTTTATTTAAGTCATTGATCTCATATCTATAAGCATTTTTTATTGTTTCTTCAACAACTACTTGTAAATGACGTGACATAAAAAGGAAGTTAGGAAGTACTATTTTATTTATTTATAACCAAGAAATCCATCTGTGATCCGCCCTTTGGACCTATCACAGCCTTCTAAACTCGATGGATAATGAGCCCGCCCCTATACCCCTTCTCCACTTAAATACCAGGCTTCGCTTTGCATGGTGTGAGACTTGAACCTGCGACCTAAGCCACAAATCCTCCACCTTTTGCCACTCGAGCTAGGCCTTGGGAGCAGGAAGCTAATATTATTTATATTGAGATCGAGAAATTTCTACTCTAAGATTCTCTGAGATGGAGAAAACCTGTGCTTGATAGAATGTGATTTGAATTATGACAGGACTGCACATTCTGAAAATGATTTTTGAACATAAAGGAAGAGGAAAGAAGTAGACATTCAAGCTAGATTATACTTTGTTTCACTCAAATTTTCATGTATGTTTATTTTTACGTTGCAATAGCATCTATTACCTTATATTTCTTTCTTTCTTTAATACAAAATACAAGTTCCACATATTTATTGATTGCAGTACCTCCTTGTGACGAAAAGTCATAGGATGGTGTATAATCTTGAAAGTCACGCAGCAGGAAATTCTTCTGCACCTCGAGTCATTCTGAGTCGATCACTACAATTAAAGCTTGGACTTGACGATTTTCCCATCATCGAATGTTATCATCACCTTGCCAATTGCTCTCCTATCTTTGAGAGCAGTAAAAGCAAGATGGGCCTGCAAAAAGGCAACAATAATGTGCGTTGTTTCAATCCTATAACAATCAACAAAAGCTAAATCTCTACAATATTTGAAAGCTTAAAAACGCACCAGTGACATAAATATGTAACATAGCTTCTGAAAAAAACCTACACTTACCATGAATCCTTTCAGATGATATCATAATGCAGTTTCCTAATTTTACACTTATTTTGTATGATGACTTCTAAGTCGCTTAATCATCCCAACAAGTGGTTGCTTTGTTGGAGGTGTTATATGATTACAGTTAGTTTAAAGATATTCCTTACTTTGACGACGTAGGGAAAGAACACCATTGTTTCCAGCTCAATTTGCTAAGGCATGGTGAAACCACTATGCTAGGTTTTCCAAGAGCATAAACAATGAACTAGCTCCCTAACGCCTTGAAAAAGTCATAGCTGGTTGATCTATATTTTATGAGGCAGTAAACTACCACTTTGACATCATTTAAGTGAGCTACACCTAATGATCTCAAAGTGAACACTTAACTTTGGGATTCAATGGTTTATGCCAGCTAATGTTGAGCAAGCTCTATGTAGTTTGAAGGGTTAGAAGGCTAGAAAAAACCGAGGAGCAATTGGAAGACCATTTGCTTATGTATTATGTAGACAAAGTATAGCTAGAAGGAAAACGTAGATGCTCTTAGGGGAGGAGATTATTCCTGTTCTGAAAAGCGGATGTATTCGTCTTTAAAAACACTTGGTGTAATTTCGAATTTGTATCTGATTTTGATGGAGCGCTGGATTTTCTGGAATCCATAATGATGGTACTGAGCTTCTTTTTATTATTATTTTTGTTTTGATAACGCAAGTGTCTGAACCAACTTGCACACACCTGATAACATCATGGATAGTATGGATAGCATGAAAGTTTTAGAGGAGCTTGATAGACACCAAATAAAGACATACAGTGTGTGGAAGGTCCACCAAAGTGAAAAGAAAGAAGAAAGGCTATGTGTGCAAGTGGTCATCTCTTAAATTCAAGAATTCACAAAAGAAGACAACCAAACAAGGCCCTTATCCCATTAAGAGTAAAATTGTAAAGAAAGCGTCTCTTTATTTTCTGAGTAGAAATAGTAGTCTTTGGTATTTTTGGAAGATTTAGATTATAAAGATTATGATGAATTGAATATTTGAGAGCTTTGAAGCTTGTAGTTCAAGGGTGGAATCCCTTTAGGTTAAGTATAGCTTAGACTAAGCTACTTAGTGTAGCTTAGTTTGATGGGTGGATCCTATTGTTGATTGAAGACTCTTTGCTCTTGATTTCAAGTGAGTTTCTCTTTTCTATTGAATCCCAAGTCTCTACTTTCTTGGTTAAATGTTCAATTAGCCCTTCTTTCTTCCCTTATTTCTCATCTATCTTACTTTTATATTGTTTAATTCCGCATTTAATTTCAATTGGATTCATCCCCAATTGGGATCCTTATCAACACCTCAACTATTCCACCAGGTACCTGCTACCTCCTGCCAACACAGGTACTGGGTACTGAGCTTCTTTTCATGAACAAAAGTATCTCTCACCTATCAAAAGAAGATAATTAAGTGAACAACTGGGGGAAACCAAAGTAGGGCCATTTTTTAAACTACTTGTGTTCTGCCCCAAGTGCGTTGAACAGGGATTTCTCATTTCACTTATCTCTTAAGAAAGCCAAAAAAGTCAAACCTGTAAATAACAGTTAATCCTTCTGTTTCTGCTCCTTTGCATTGACATAAATTTATTTGACTAAGAAATTATGCTAGTAATTGCAAATTAAGGGACTTTGTACATTGAAATGTATCTGATATCAAACATTTGAACTTAAACATGTGATATACAGTAGTATCAAATAAATTTATCTGATATCAAATAAAAATGCTTTACTTGGTTGGTGGTTAAAAGAGCATGCCGGACACAAGAAGTTTTGAAGAAAAAAAGGGCCATCATAGTTTCCAGGTGCTTCTTATGCAATGAGACAAATGAACAAGCAGTCATCTATTTTTACACTGCACTTTTACAGTACAACTTTGGTCTCTATTTCTCAACATAACAAAGACAAGTTGGACTATGCCGGAGCATACTGCAGATTTGATTAGCTGCTGGATGAAAAGAGGCAGCAAAAGTCAAAAGAAGTGGTGGAGGATCATCCCACAATGCATCTGGTGGACAGTTTGGAGAGAGAGAAATGGGAGGTGTTATGAAGATAGATCCAATTCCATCCAGAAAGTTGAATGGAATTGTATAATATCTTTCTACTTTTGAGGTAAAGAAGTAGGTTTAGAGGATAGAGATCAGTTTGTAGATTTATTAAGATCTCTGTAAGTATCTTTTTTTGCTATTTTTTTTTAATCTGACACTTTTTGATGGTGTCCAACATGTCCTTAATGCTGAGGAATATGCATTTACCGGTCTCAAAAAAAAAAAATATAGTAACAATTTAACATCTTTTGTCCTTGTCTTCTAAGGTTAGCGGGAGTTTGAGTCCTTAAGTTTGAATTATAGCATATAATCCCAATTAATTTTTAACATTTTTAGGGTTCTCTAAAATAAAAAAGTAATGAGCAATACTAGTGTGTTTGGTATGACGGAAAATGTTTTCCTAGAAAATAAGTGAATATCCTACTTATTTCTAGTGTTTGGTTAGTAAGCAAAAATATTTTTGATGAAGAAGTAAGCAAAAATATATTATCACAAGATCATTTATATGTAATCTAGCAAAATACTATGAAAGTAGGAGGGGGTGGGGTGTAGGGCCTCGGAGGCGGCGGGGTGTGGGATGGTCAAAGGGGTGGAGGT